AACTAATGCCAAAGAAATCAGGTTACTGTTTACTTGTTAATTATATAAGTGTTAAATGTTAAATGAGTTATGAATTGATTTTATACACACCTGGTCAATTAAGTATGTTGTTTGTGATAAATTAGTCTGATATATTTTATATGTACATCATGTAATCATGTCCTTTTTTAACTTTTGTTTTTTAATAATTTTTAATCTAGTTCTAGTTTGTTAAGTATTTCTTTCTTTCTTTGAGACCCTAGTGTCTATTATTTGCGTATAATTACTGTTTTTCTATATGGTGTTTGTAAAGAATTGAATAAATAAATAAATAAAAATTTTAATTCCTCTCAAATTACTTGAAATTTCGATCGAATTACACAAAATCCTAAATGAATTACATGGAGGAATTTTAAACAATTACATGAAATTCCCAACATGAAATTTCAGTTTTTACTGAATTTTAGTAATGCCGAGGAATTTCCAGCTAAAAACATGGAATTTCGGTGATATTCCAAAAAATTCCTACGTAATAACATGAAATTTCAATATACTTATTTCGATGAATTTTTAAGAAATTACTTGAAACTTCATTAATATTCCCAAAAATTCCTGGCTATTAAAAGAGAATTTCAGTGAAATTCCGAAAAATTCTTATGAAAATAAATTAAATTTTGAAAATTCCTTGAAGTTTCATTGGACTTTCGAGAAATTTTCGATTATGAACGTGGATATTCTCATAAAATTTTAGTGAATTCCCAGACATTTTCAAGAAATTACATGAAATTCCAAAGAATTTTATGAAAATTTTGTGGAATTCCAGGATATTTCAGTGGTAAAATTTTGAGGAATTTAGTAAAGTTAAAAAAACAAAATATGAAATTTTGAAATTGAAATCTTAATGGAATTCCAAGGAATTTCATGAAATCCTATACTATAATTAGCCTCCTCACTTGAAATAGTCACGAGCTGCCATTGCACTCATTCAAGTTTTTATATCGTTATCTCGTATTATTTTAGACTTTTGACTCTTGATTGGTTGGGTACAGAAATTATGAAATCACTCAAGCGCCAAGAATAATGAAAATATGCCTCAATGAATTTTCAATTTATTATATCTCTATCTCTTTCTTTTTCATTTTATTATGTCTCTATTTCTTTCTTATATCATTATCTTTTTCTTATTATTCCAGATTTTTGATTAGTCAGACACAAAAATTACAAGGCCACTCAAGCGCCGAAGATAATCAAAATCTGTGTCAAAAATTTTCAATACTATTTCATTGCTGTCTCTTTCTATCAATTTATAAATGAATAGTTTTATTATACAAGAAAATTTCAATGTCTTACTTTATTTTCGTCTCTTTCTTACTTATTGTGTTTCCTATGTCGTTTCTCATTTCCCTATTTTAGGATAAGTCCATGATTGAGTGCCAGAAATACCCAAAAATTAGTGTCACGTTTTTTTATATCCGTCTCTTTCTCACTCATTCAAGTTTTCATATTGCTGTCTCGTATTATTTCAGACTTTTGACTCTTGATTGGTTGGGTACAGAAATTATAAAATCATTCAAGCGCCAGGAATAATGAAAATATGCCTCAATGAATTTTCATTTTATTATGTCTCTATCTCTCTTTTTTCTATTGATTCTCTTATATTATTATCTTTCTCTTATTATTCCAGGCTTTTGATTGGTCAGACACAAAAATTACAAGGCCACTCAAGCGCTGAAGATAATCAAAATTCGTGTTACAAATTTTTTATCCTATTTTATTGTCATCTTTTTTCATCAATTAATAAATGAATAGTTTTATTGTACAAGCAAATTTCAATGTCCTACTTTATTTTCGTCTCTTTCTTACTCATTGTGTTTCCTATGTCGTTTCTCAGTTTCCTATTTTAAGACAAGTCACTCGAGCACCAGAAATACCCAAAAATTAGTGTCACGTTTATTTATTTCCCACTTTATTTCCGTCTCTTTCTCACTAATTCAAGTTTCTATATCGCTGTCTCGTATTATTTCAGACTTTTGACTCTTGATTGGTTGGGTACAGAAATTATAAAATCATTCAAGCGCCAGGAATAATGAAAATATGCCTCAATGAATTTTCATTTTATTATCTTTATCTCTTTCTTTTTCATTTAATCTCTTATATCACTATCTTTCTATAATTATTCCAGGCTTTTGATTGGTCAAACACAAAAATTATAAGGCCACTCAAGCTCCGAGAATAATCACAATTCGTGTCACAAATTTTTTATCCTATTTTATTGTCGTCTCTTTTTATCAATTTATAAATGAATAGTTTTATTGTACAAGCAAATTTCAAATATGTCATTGGGGATGCCGTAAGCAACATTTTTTACCATGGGCACAACCCTGTATATATGACAGGTGAGGCGTGGTTAGCTGTCAAATATTGGAATCTTATATCCAATAGAAGAGTGACTATGGCAGATTTTGATGATCAAAGTATCGATGTCTACTAAGTCGACCAAGTCAAGTCGAAAAATGTCAACCATTTTGACACCTGTCAAAATCCTGCCAAACGGCAGCACTCATCTTTTCCCGTTTTCAATATTTTATGATGTCATTCGATATTTCTAACTTGTATGTAAATTCTGAATTCAAAAATTGAAAAAAAAAATGACAGAACTGTCAAAACCTGTCATTTGTTTTAGTAGAAAAAAATACTCTAATCTGGTTCTTTTTTGTTTCAAGGTAGTTTAGCGGTGATAAAACATTAAACAAAGTTCATGCATGTCACATTTTGACAACTGTCAGAATCTGTTAATAGATTTTTGGTTCATATTGAGTTTGTTTGCTTAGTGAAGGTTTAGTTCTATTGTATTATTCTATCATTATAGTTGTAGAACTTCACTAAGCAAACAAACTCAATATGAACCAAAAAGCAAAAACAGATTCTGACAGTTGTCAAAATGTGACATGCATGAACTTTGTTTAATGTTTTATCACCAATAAACTACCTTGAAACAAAAAAGAATCAGATCTAATCTGATTCTTTTTTTTCTACTAAAACAAATGACAGGTTTTGACACTTCTGTCATTTTTTTTTTTCAATTTTTGAATTCAGAATTTACATACAAGTTAAAAGTGTCAAATGACATCATGAAATATTGAAAACTGGAAAAGATGAGTGCCGCCGTTTGACAGGGTTTTGGCAGGTGTCAAAATGGTTGACATTTTTCGACTTAACTTGGTCGACTTAGTAGAAATAAATTTTTTGTTCATCAAAATCTGCCATAGTTACTCTGCTTCTGGATATAAGATTCCAATATTTGACAGCTAACCACGCCTCACCTGTCATATATACAGGGTTGTGCCTGTGGTAAAAAATGTTACTTACGGCATCCCCAATAACATATTTAAATTTCATCCAAATATCACGGGTAACCAATTTCCATTTAAATATTGTGGGGTCCTTAGGACAGAAACAATGTGTTGGAAAGAGACCTTTCTCAGTTTCCTTACAGATATAAAGTCCTTTTCTGACACATTGCTTCTTATGACAAAAACCGAAATAATTTTTTTTCTCGAAAACTGTTAGAGATAAACCTTTCGAACTTTATATCATTAAAATCAGAAAAAGCAGAGCTTTCTAATGAGCTATTAATATATAGGGTGTCCTGTTGAAAAAAAACAGACTTTGGTCTATATCTCAGAGTTGGGACCAACTAGAAAAAAACTGAGAACGTCACTGAATTCTGCTTGAAAAAGTGCTCCTAGAAAGTTTTTACAGAAATCAATAATTTTCATAAACAAAGAAGTTATGATGGTTTCACATTATTGCTCAAAATCGAGAATCACCCTCTCTAGAGTCTAAACGGTTGAAGATATCAAAATGTGGTTTGCACCAATCAAAATTTCATGAAATTTGAGCCTCAGAGTGGGAGGTTCATTTTTTTGTATCTCGCTCAGAAATTGACGTTTCCTATTAAAAGTGTCCAAATTGGCCCACCCTGTACCTATAGAGCATCAAATTTCCTGTGCGCAAATCCCATTGCATATTTTACACGAAACTCTATTGCACCTGTTGCAATGATATCTAAACAACAAGGTTTTATCTTCTTTAAAGTAACATGAAGCCTCACGCCATCACATCTCATCAAAAAAGCTATGTTGTCATATGTCAAAAACCAAGTCTAATAGATGTTTGTCATTTAAAGATTTTATAACTACTGTATAACATCATCTAAGGTGCCTCAACATAATGCAAATCTCTATACGGCACCCCAGATACTTCATCAAGTTACCCATTAACTTTAGAAGCTTTGCGGATAAACCACCTTGAGAAAATATGTACACCAGACCTCACTTTTAATGAAATCCCCCGAAATCCTACTAAAAACCTACGGAATCCTACTGGAATTCTACAGAAAATGAATAAAATTTTGGACTTATGAATAAAAAGTATATGCAATTAACAATGTATGCAAAAATGATTAAAATTTGCAAAAATCACTTATGCAAAATACTTCCAATGATCACGGTGATCAGGATTTATGAATTGAAATTTCCTCTTTATGGAAAAGTTGATTTGAAGCTCCAACTGGAACTCTTTAACAAATGGAGATCATTACCCCCACTTGCTATTTTCCTCTCTCTTTTTAAAATCAATAGAGAGAAATCGCTAATAGAGACAATAGAGATATGTCTATGCATTACAGAGTTACAGCCCGGAAAAAATTGTACATTTATCTTAAACCATCACATCTTATCAAAAAAGCTGTGTTGCCATATTCCAAAAACTAAGTTAAATAGACGTTTGTTAGTTGGGGATTTTAGTAATGTTGGGACGCTGAATTTTTTACAATAAAAATAAAGAAGGACTTTCATCAAATTACATACAACATCTGAAAAACCGTAAACTTGACAACTTGCAAATACCACCACTGAATCAGGTATTCCCATATAGGAAATATTGTAAATTTTTCTCAAAACTGTCTAGTCAACAACCCTGTATATAACAAAACAACTTTTAGACATTCTACCACTCACCTTTGTAGTTGAACCCGCAGCTGCTGAGGTAGTTTTCTTGTCCATGACGCGCTTAGCCACCACACTGTGCGCCGAATAAACGTGATTCTCAAACTGTTTGTACATGCCGAAAGTGGCAGTGCACACTGTACACTTGTACGACAAATGAGCCGGTTTCAATACCATTTTGTGGTCACGAGCCACGTGATTCAATAATTTCCATTGATAAACCTATAAACAAAAAAAATGATTATTGAAACAAAGCTTATTAGGGAAATATTTACCCGTCCACAAACAGGACACCGTCCCGAATCTTTGCTTTTATTAGCATTGTCTTGCATACTAGAAGTAACCAAACCATGAGAGCCTAATAAGTGACGCTCCAAGCCTTGATCAGTAAAAAATCTGAACTGACACTTTTGACAGTTGAGTGGAGGCCGATTGTAGATCATCTTGGGATGGATTTTGATTTTGTGAATCCACTGCATGTGGTTGCGCAACTGTTCCAAGTCTTTAATGTAGCCGTCGCAAATTTCGCAAATCACAAACGCGTTTTTGGAACTTGTATCTCCGGGTTTAGAGGCAGCTGGAGTAGCAGTAGACGATGTCCTTGGTAAAGGAGTAATTGAAATGCTTGGAGTGTTCGAGGGTTTTTTTGCAGTCTGTTGTTGTTGCTGTTGGCTGGTTGTTGTCTGGAAAAATTTCTTTATTAGCCAAGGAAATGATAAAATTATTGTCACAGTTAGTGTGGCATGCATTCCACAAAACATAAAGTTACTGGGCACCATTATGAAAAATAAAAGCAAAATTCTTGGTTAATAGGCAGCATTCGGAAATACTGTTACCTGTAAGGAGCCTGTTGCCTGGGCGGAGGATGGAACATAAGCCATACCAGGCACTGAACCCAGTCGACCGCCCAATTCAGAGCCGCCCACCACCTAAGTATGAATGATGTGAATTTTTTTTGTCGGCCAGAAGTCAAATATTTATATACATTTTTTTTTTCTTTTGAGGATGAACATAATATGCTTGTTGTTGTACGTTACACTTAACACACAATATTTGAGAAAACTTCTTACCTGGTACACTTGGTTGCCGCTCAATTGATAATTGGCAGGCACCAACATCTGGCCACCAGATTGTTGCTTGAAAATCATCCCTTGGGGCCTGATCATTGGTTGCGAGGGTTTGACGTTTGGACCCAGAGTGGGCCTGCCCCTGCCCCTGTTCAGAGCAGAAGTGCTCGCTGTCGCAGTCGCTTGTTGCAGCTGCATCTGATGGAGGAGAAAAAAAGAAACTTTTTTTTATAAGAGAGAAAAAGATGGATATAAATTTGTTGCAAACTTGAAGTTGTTCTGAAGGCTGAGAATTTGAATAATACCAGAATTGTTGTGTTATCACGATAGAAACTCAAAACATGACCTGTTAATTTATCAGTTCTGTGTTCTGATTGGTTGAGAGAAACAAAAAAGCCACAGATCAGAAGTGTTCAAATTAGTCCACTCTGTAGTGTAGAGTGTAAGTATCCCATTTTAGTTGTACATAAGAGATATTCACTCTACCAGTCTTGAAATTCACCGTGGCCCCACGTTGGGCGCCAATTTGTAAAAAAATTATTAGAGAAATTGAGTACAAAGGAACGAGAACCGATAGAGAAAACTGATTACTCTATATTGGTCTTGTCTTGTATTAACAAAGAAACAAAATGAAATTTGCATATGTGGATACAATACGAGGACTCGCGTGAGGGCTCCCAGTAATGCTGCCACGGTCGCTTCGTAATTAAAATCTTTACATGAAACACAACAAATCTGAAATCAATCTGAGCCTCAGAAATGGAATTTGAAATTCACCGTGGCCCCACGTTGGGCGCCAATTTGTAAGATAAATATTAGGGAAGTTGAATGCACGGGAAGAATTGAACAAAAACTGATTCCCGCAGAGTAAAAATCAAAGCATAAGAAGCCAGTGACGACATCCAAGCCTGCGCGAAACTTATCGGTCCTCTTTCTTTCTTCCCTTTCTCTTGAGACTCTGACATCACTAAAAGCCAGTGGCGGGGTGTCGCTTATTTTCATATTCTATAACAAGTGCCAAAAATAAATCCCTGCACATTTTTGGTCACTGGCTTCTGCTCCTTTGATTTTTACTCTACCAAACGAGCGCGAAAATTACCACGGGTTTCGTTGAACAACTTCACGAAAATCGCGATCGGCACACAATAATCACTCTGCCAGTCTTGACACTCACCGTGGCCCCACGTTGGGCGCCAATTTGTAAGATAATTATTAGGGAAGTTGAATGCACGGGAAGAATTGAACAAAAACTGATTCCCGCAGAGTAAAAATCAAAGCATAAGAAGCCAGTGACGACATCCAAGCCTGCGCGAAACTTATCGGTCCTCTTTCTCTCTTCCCTTTCTCTTGAGACTCTGACATCACTAAAAGCCAGTGGCGGGGTGTCGCTTATTTTCATGTTCTATAACAAGTGCTAAAAATAAGTCCCTACACATTTTTCGTCATTGGCTTCTTCTTCTTTCATTCTTACTCTACCAAACGAGTGTGATAAAACCATGGGTTTTGTCGAACAACTTCACGAAAATCACGATCGGCATACAATAATCACTCTACCAGTTTTGAAACTCACCGTGGCCCCACGTTGGGCGCCAATTTGTAAGATAATTATTAGGGAAATTGAGAACACGAGAAGAATTGAACGAAAACTGATTCCCGTAGAGTAAAAATCAAAGCATAAGAAGCCAGTGACGACATCCAAGGCTGCGCGAAACTGATCGGTCCTCTTTCTCTCTTCTCTTTTTCTTGAGACTGACATTACTAAAAGCCAGTGGCGGGGTGTCGCTTATTTTCATATTTTATAACGAGTGCCAAAAATAAGTCCTTGCACATTTTTCGTCACTGGTTTCTGCTCCTTTTATTTTTACTCTACCGAATGAGCGCGAAAAACAGCATGGGTTTCGTTGAACAACTTCACGAAAATTGCGATCGGCACACAATAATCGCTCTGCCAGTCTTGAAACTCACCGTGGCTCCACGTTGGGCGCCAATTTGTAAGATAATTGTTAGAGAAGTTGAGTAAACGAGAAGAATTGAACGAAAACCGATAGCGAAAACTGATTCCGGTAGAGCAAAAATCAAAGCAGAAGAAGCCAGTGACGACATCCAAGGCTGCGCGGAACTGATTGGTCCTCTTTCTCTTGTCCCTTTCTCTTGAGACTGACATCACTAAAAACCAGTGGCGGGGTATCGCTTATTTTCATATTCTATAACAATTTCCAAAAATAAGTCCCTACACATTTTTCGTCATTGGCTTCTTCTTCTTTCATTCTTACTCTACCAAACGAGTGTGATAAAACCATGGGTTTTGTCGAACAACTTCACGAAAATCACGATCGGCATACAATAATCACTCTACCAGTTTTGAAACTCACCGTGGCCCCACGTTGGGCGCCAATTTGTACGATAATTATTAGGAAAGTTGAGTACATGAGAAGAATTGAACGAAAACCGATAGTGATTTTATATTAACAAAGAAATTAAATGAAATTTGCGTAGATAAAATACGATAGCACAGGGCTCGTAGTAGTCGTAGCCGACTAGCGGCGTGAGGATTAGGGAATTTTGTTCCAACTTTGGATTTTTTTCAAAAATACTTTCAGGAATCTGAGCAACTTCAAACTTTCAGGAATTCGGAATTAAAGTATCTCTTCAAACACAACAAATCTGAAGTCGATCTGAGTTTAAGAAATAGAATTTGAAACTCACCGTGGCCCCACGTTGGGCGCCAATTTGTAAAATAATTATTAGGGAAGTTGAATACACGAGAAGAATGTAGATACAATACGCGGGCTCGCGCGAGCGTTCCCGGTCGGGTGGTAATTCACTATGAACGTTGTCATTTCGTAATTGACACGCCGTACCAGATTGACATAATAAAAGGGAGCGTTCACCGTTAAGTCGTAGCCGACCAGTGATCTGGGAATTAGAGAATTTTGTGACCTCCATTAGTTTCAGTTCTCTCCGATGTACCGGAAAAAAGTTAGCCTCCCCATCTTTCTTGATTTTGAATTTGAATATACAGTTATCAGTTTTCTCTATCGGTTTTCGTTCAATTTTTCCCGTGTACTCAACTTCCTTAATAATTATCTTACAAATTGGCGCCCAACGTGGGGCCACGGTGAGTTTCAAGACTGGTAGAGTGATAATTGTGTGCCGATTGCGATTTTCGTGAAGCTGTTTCACGAAACCCAAATCTGAAGTCAATCTGAGTTTCAGAAATAGAATTATGAATTTTTTAGAAAATCCTTGTAATGAAATTTTCAGGATTTCAATGATAGGTGATGATGTAACTTTTTAAGGAATTGCAGTTGATAAAAGACTTGCAGCAAGTGTGTTAAATTTTTTGAAGAAAAAATGGCACGCCACTGACCATTGGTGTCCTATCTCAAACTACTTCTCTATGGTTTCCCTGTATACTCTAGCATTTTTGACCAGTTGAACGAGGACACCCTGTATATATTGATTTGGTTCCCAGTGAGACACCCTGTATTAGAGAAATTATATTGAATTGTTATTACACCTACTTGTAAACTTTGTAACTATCAAATGCTTCGTTTATTTCGTGTACAATTTCCCTAATAAATATCTTACAAATTGGCGCCCAACGTGGGGCCACGGTGAGTGAAATGCGGAGTAAACACCTGAATATTAAATCAGCTAAGAAAAACCACATGTGTTATTGTTTATCTCACTTCAAAATTGCAAAAAAGGCTATTTGCCTGCCTTGTAAGTAATGACTATAACGGTTCTTCTTAGTTCGTTGAAGTAACTATAATAATTCTGACATTGAAAATTCAATAATTACCTTTGACAAAAACTGATATTGTTGCGCCCCTTTGTTAGTCAAAGTCTGATAGGCAGCCACTGCAGCATTCAAACCAGTGGCGCGCATCTTAGGCATCCTAGGAATCTTCGCAGGAGGTTCCCAATCCGGCGGTGGTTCCAGGTTCCGGTCAGGTTTGAATTTTCTTGCACAGACTACCAAATGTCTAGACAATTTGCCCTTTTGGTTGTCTTCAAAGGGACACGAGGGGCATTGGTGGAAAGCAGGTGCGCGTTCCAAGTGGCCGCGGACCGCGTGTTCAGCTTCCATGTGGAAGAGGATGTCGTGCGGGCTGCGCACCTCGTACGCGCAGAAGTTGCACTTGTAGACGAAGTTTTTCATGTGGGGAGTTTCCAAGTGGTAGGCCATCGCCAGCTTGGATTCGGTTTTGAAGTTGCAAAACTCACACTTTTTAATGTCCATCCTAAAATTATTAATCAATAATAAATTAAATGACACACAATAGAAATTTACTTGAAATGTTGATTGGTGCTTCTGCTCATTTCAATAGTCTTAACTAATGTCGCTATAGTTTTGTTTGTTTCAATGTTGGAGCCTTGTTCCCGGTCTCGTTTGCGTTTTTGCTGTTTCAACAGGTCGTTTTGCACGTATTCTTGGACCAAATTGCAACCGATGTCTGTGAAAAATTTGCCTAAGGGACTCTCGAAGTAAGAGTAAGGTTTTTTCAGGTCAGGTTTTACTTCTTCTATTTCCTCATCGCTGCTGGAGGTTGCATCGTCAGAGGCGTCTTCTCCGTCGTCTTTGCTTTTGTCTTTTTTTTCTTGTTTTTTTGCTCGTTTCTTTGCTTTTTCTTCTTTTTTGTTGTCTTCGATTTGCTTTTTGATTTCGGCAATGTATTCTTTCAGGACTTTTACAGGAGGTTTTTCGTATACATAGGGTACTAAAGGAGAAATAATAATAATAAAGGTATTACTGAAAATTTCTCAATAATGTTGAACAATGGGGATTTTTACCATATTTGAATTTCATCGGTTTATTATTTTTAGGGCTAGTTCATTCACCTTTTGATAAACTGTCAGGTATACAATCTGATTAATAAAAACGCAATTTATAATCCTATTGGTTGGCCAGTTATTCCAAAAGAACTATAGAATGGTACATTTATTTTGGATAGTTACCAGTAAGTTTATATGAAAATGAATAGACCGGGCCTTAATCGATTGTATGAACCTTCAGATAAACTTGCTAGTAACATAGACTTTGCATGATCTTTTCATTTTGTCTATCAGACATAGCATAGCATTCAATATGGATATTGGGTATTAAGTTGCTCCAAAAAAATTATCCAATGGATAAAAGGGCCATAGATAATCAAAATTTGAACTATTAACGGCTCTTGATTTTCTGGAACACTTTCCTGGAGCCAATCAAGATCCGGCAATAGTCAAAACTTGAACTTTTATTATCAAATTTTTCTAAGGAAATTCAAAGCTGATCAAAAGCCACAGATAATCAAAAGTTGAACCATTATCGGCTCTTGATTCTTTGAAAAACCATCTTAGGGCGGGTATTATAAAACTGCTTTGAGGGTTAACTTGAAGTTAACTTCTGGAATTATATGTAATTCAAAAAGTTAACTTCAAGTTAACTGGCAAAGCAGTTTTATAATACCCGCCCTTAGAGTCAATCAAACGCTAGTAATAGTTAAAATTGAGAACACAATTTTCCGATTCCAAAACTATTATATAGTTTGTCTATATCTGGTTGAGCCGTCTGCAACATATTTGGTTCTAAAAATTTTAAAAATACTATCAGAAAAACCAAGTTCCTCAAATTTCACCTGCAGCTTTCACCTATACAGGTAAAATGGTTCACAAAATCAGTAGTAGGATAGTATTTTCACAATTTTTGGAGCCGAATATATGAGAGATTGCTCAATCAAATATTAATCGGGACATTGTGCTCTTCAAGAATATAGAATGAAATATAGGGCATCCCATTTGGAAAGAGCTGGAATCATGCAAAATTTCACATTTCTGACATTCAAATTTTGTTTCTGACCATTGCATGGTTTCTAAAAATTCAGCCAAAATTTTTGTATTCACACCTTTCTTCTACCTGTAAAGGTTAAGGCTATAGGCGGGGTATCAATATACAGGGTGAGTTACTAAGTGCGTGGTGGTCCATATTTCCTATACTAACGAAGAGTGAAGAAAAAACTAAATACAAAATTTGTAGATAAACATGAGTACTACATTCCTAAATTATTTTCCAGTATACAGGGTGGCCCAATAACTAGTAGTGTCACAGAGTTATGTTTTTTTAAATGACTCCCCCTGTATATTATGACATTTCTGGACTCTGCGAAAAATTCTAGACACATTATTTCATGTACAGGGTGGTTGATTTTCGATAGTTTGATAGGGTACAGCCAAAATGGCCGAAGATACTGAGAAACTGATATACGCTTCCCGTCCTCTTTTTTAGTGTGTCATTTGATGGTGTAGTCAGATCTTGGCCGACAATATTGGTTTGCGAGATACAGGGTGTTTTTCAAAATCAGCTGTTTTTTATAATCCTCTATAACTTTTTACCAGACGGAGATATAGAAAAAGTGCAAAAAAGAAAAATACGTCTTTTTTTACGTAGAATCCAGTGGCGTACTTAGAAAAAATATGGGGGCTTTATCTTCTAAGATATTTGAAAAAACAAAGATTTTTTTTTTTTGAAATTAGTCCGGTAGGAAAATTCCGGAATTTTTCTTTTTCGAAATTTATCTTTCAATAAAGCATCCAAAATTTTTGTTCAAAAATATTCCTGAAATAAAATTCCAGATTTTCTTTTCTTCAATTTGTTCAGAGAGAAAATTTCAATTTTTTTTTTTCAATTTTTGAAAGAAAATTCTTGAATTTTTTATTTTTTGAAAGAAAATTCTTGAATTTTTTATTTTTTGAAAGAAAATTCCAGATTTTTTTTTATTTTTATTTTTCCCTTAAAGGTTTTTTTTTTGAAATTTTTCCTGAAAGAAAAATTACAATTTTTTTTTTATTTTTTGAAAAAATATTTCAGAATTTTTTATTTTTTGAGAGAAAATTCCAGAATGTTTCTTTTTGGAAATTTGTCATTTTTCCTTTAATTTAAAACTCTGGAATTTTCTTTAAAAAAATAAAAAAATCAGGAATTTTCTTTCAAAAATTGAAAAAAAATTAGAATTTTCTCCTCAGGAAAAATTGAAAAAAAGAAAATAAAAATCTGGAATTTTATTTCAGGAATATGTATTTTTGAACAAAAATTTTGGATGCTTTTCTGAAGGATAAATTTCGAAAAAGAAAAATTCCGGAATTTTCCTTCCGGACTAATTTCAAAAAAAAAATCTGAAATTTTTCTTTTCTCGAAATTTTCCCTTAAATTTTTTTTTTTAATTTTTTCCGAAATAAAATTCCAATTTTTTTTTTTTTTTTTTCTGTAAGAAAATTCCAGAATTTGGTTTTTCAAAGTAAATTCCAGAATTTTTTTAAAAGTTTTAGAAATTAATTTGTCATTTTTCCTTCAAAAAAGCATTCGGAATTTTTTTATCAAAATTTTTCCAGAAATTAAATTTCCCTGAAAGAAACATTGCAATTTTTTTTTTTTTTTTAGAAATTTGTCATTTTTCTTTCAAAAATGCATCCAGATTTTTTTTTTTTTTTTTTAAGTTTCCAAAAATTCAATCCCAGATTTTTTTTTGCTTTGAAAATTTGAAATTTCGAAAATTCTAGATTTTTTTTTTGTTTCTAATTTTTCCCTAAAATAGTTATTTATGCAACAAGTGTGTAAAATGTGATTGTCGAACTCGCCTTCGGCTCGTGCGTCATAATTCACATTCGTGAATAAAGGTGCTATACGTATTGCATACAAAAATTTTTCTACTACCAATCAAATATGTGTAAAAAAATAAATTTAGACAAATACATACTTTACGCACTAGTGCGGAAAATATTTTCACTTTACGCACTGGAGCGTGAAGTAATTTACCAGAAAAATACTAAATTGACAGTGTCGACATCTGTCATTGACATTACTTCACGCACTAGTGTGTGAAGTGAATTACTTTACACACTTGCGCGTGAAGTGAAATTTTACGTATTCTGAATAGTTCGTAAAGTGAGTACTTTACGCACGGTAGTAGAAAAAAGTGTTTTTTGTTGCTTTCGCCATTTAGACTAAAACAAAATATCATGTGTTAAGTATCGTTGAACTCGCAATTTTTTTCTCAAAATACTGAACCAATAAGATAGAGGGTGTTCCATTTGAAAAATCTTTGTTTTTTCGAACATCTCAGAAGATAAAGCTCCCATATTTTTTCCAAGTACGCCACTGGATTCTACGTAAAAAAAAGACGTATTTTTCCTTTTTGCACTTTTTCTATATCTCCGTAGGGTAAGAAGTTATAGAGGATTATAAAAAACAGCTGATTTTGAAAAACACCCTGTACCTCGCAAACCAAACTTGTTGGCCAAGATCTGACTACACCATCAAATGACACACTAAAAAAGAGGACGGGAAGCGTATATCAGTTTCTCAGTATCTTCGGCCATTTTGGCTGTACCCTATCAAACTATCGAAAATCAACCACCCTGTACAATGCCATATCTGTTTCGGAAATATTGACAGTTGAAAATTGACTTTTTTTGCTTTTTTGACAGACTGTGAAACCTAAACGATTAATTTTACAAGAAAACGGTTTTTACATTCCTATCTTAGTTTTACATAAACTATCATTTGACACCAACCTTGAATTTAATCCATGATTAAAAATTCCGCCTAAATTATTAATCTTCGGTTAAATGAAAATCTATGACAGGAATTTAAAAGCCGTTTTCCTCTAAAATTAACCGTTTAAGTTTCACAGATGCAAAAAAGGCAATTTTCAACTGTCAATATTTCCAAAACCGCTGAAGATAGGTATATGCAAATATGACATTGTACATGAAATATGTCTAGAATTTTTCGCAGAATCCAGAAATGTCATAAGCTACAGGGAGAGTCATTTAAAAAAACATAACTTTTTGTCACTACTAGTCATTGGGTCACCCTGTATACTGGAAAATAATGTAGGAATGTAGTACTAATGTTTATATGCAAGTTTTGTATTTAGTTCTTTCTTCGATCTCCGTTAGTATAGAAGATATGGACGACCGCACGGTAAGTAACTCACCCTGTATAAAAAAACACCCTGTACAAATAAGTGGATTATTGCGGAACTTATAGGTGGACCTCTGCGGGACGAGCGCAGCGAGTTCCGCAGCCATCTATTCATCAATATGTTGTTTAATTACGATACTAACCTGACTCACTTAAATGTGAGTCATTCTTATTAGTTTAAAAACTACACGTTTCAGGTGAATGTCTTACTTGAACAGTTCAACAGTATATTGATGAGTAGATGGCTGCGGAACTCGCTGCGCTCGTCCCGCAAAGGTTCACCCATAAATTCTGCAATTATCCACTTATTAATGTCTGTTTTTTTTTTAAAGATAATTCCCCAAGTCAAAAATTTAGTAACTTTGTTGGCAGCACAAGCCTTTTCTACATAAAAAATTTGAAAGCATTGACAATTTTACATTGTATTGCCAACATCATGTCATTTTGACTTTTATTTAAAAAAAAAAAAAAACAGATTTTACTAAATTTTTGACTTGGGGAATTATCTTTCAGACTTTATTTTATATTTTTAACCTTTGTAGTGTCATTTTTTGACGTTTTCTGCTGTCATTCATAAGAGAAACGAACACAATGAGTAAGAGAAAAAGAACAAACACGCTGACGCAAAAAGAAGAAATGGACCTCGACAAATCATTCTCCGATTTTGACTCCGACGACTCACTCAGAGATCCCGATTTTATGTCTGATCGTTCATCTGATTCCTCAGAAGACGAAGATCCGGAAGAATTTGCAGCCGCTGAAGCTGAAGCTGAGTATATAGGCGATGATGGTGATGATGAAAAATGGGAAAATATAGCAGAAACCCAGGACGACGATCAAGAACCGCAAAATTATGATACAGTTGAAAGTGAATATGTGGGCGAGTGGACAGACTATGTGGGTCGACAAAGATATTTTCCATATTACTGGTTTATCAGGTCTGCAGCAGGCAGTTCCACCTAACAATACACCTCTTGACATATTCTCTCTAATAGTGGATAATAAAGTAGTAAACGTCATAGTAACAGAAACTAATAGGTACCCACCAATACTCAAGAGAGAAAGAAATTGTTTGGCCTAACAATATGGATGGGGTTGGTTCAACTTGGTAACATTCAATGATATTGGGAAAGTCATGGCATATATCCCTCAGAATGTTATGTCCAGGAATAGAATCCAAATTTTATTGAAAATGCTACATTTTGCTAATAATGAAGACATCCATGAAAGCGACCGCCTTGGAAAAATCCAACCCTTCATAGATTTATTGAAAAGAAAATTTAAAGCTTTATTTTACCCCATTGAAGACATCGTTGTTGATGAAACCCTTGTACCCTGGAGGGGCCGTTTGATATTTAGGCAATACATCCCAAACAAAACCCATAGATATGGGATAAAACTCTTCAAACTTTGCTTCACGAATGGATACACCTGCCTGGGCCATGAACGTGTATGCAGGAAAACCAAGAGGTGCCGATGGTGAAGTTGGGCTGGCCAAAAATACTTGCATGTCGTTATATCGTGGTCTCCTGTATGAAGGTTGCACATTATACGTGGACAATTTTTAAACTACCTACGAGTTAACCAGGACTTTGTTAGAGAGCCACACACATTTGGTAGGTACACTTGGAGCAAACCGCAAAGGGTTTCCCCCAGAAATAAAAATAACAAAACTGAAACGCGGTGAAATCGTTGCCAAAGAAGATTAAAACGGTATTGTGGTACTCAAATGGAAAGATACCCGAGATGTGAAAATTATGTCAACAAAACATCCCCAATAATAATAGATGTTCCCATCAAGAATGCAAAATACGCATCTACAGCTAGCATAAAACTGTTAACATCTATTGATCAACCCTCTACATCGACAGACGATATACCTACTTCTGACCAGCCGTCAGCCTTGCCACATGATGGAAGTGAAGTGATACTAAAACCAATTTAAATGAACCCTCTACGTCAACCATTACAAAGGAACGTAAAAGAAAACGTAACACCAAAAATAAGAGCGCCGTTTTTGCCTATCGGGCATTGATTTGTCGAATCAGATTGGCTCCTATGCTACCGTACTTCGCAAAGGGGTTAAATGGTTTAGGAAACTAGGCATAGAACTTGTTTTGGGTGTTGCAATATTTAACGCTTGAGCTGCTTTCCAGTGCCTAAAGTGTTAGATTATCATGCTCCTGGAGTGTGACGCTCATGAACTGTTCGACATAAGCAGCACTGGAACGCTCTCGTCTCAACCTCTGAGGTCTCAACCCCCACCATTTCGGAATTCAGGAGCATGGAACACCGAAATGAAGGTTGGTGCACCAGGGGGCAGGGGATAACAGAAATGAGTAGTTCAAGTGTATGACACTCTAAGCACTGGAACGTGCAAAGTAATTGTGGAGCACTCCTGAGCTGCTCAGGAGGTAACTCAAATGGGTCACTGGAAAGCACCTCTGGTGTGTATACAAGGACATCATGAAAAAGAAAATTCAAATTCGTAGCTTTCGCGAAATGTTAGCAGCTGATCTTTTCGAAATTCCCATGAAAGTAAGCGGCAAAATTACCAGAGTAAATCAACTAACAATAATTCACACTACTTAATCGAAAGAATTAAACCTGATGGAAAAAAATTACGTAGAAAATGTTCGGAGTGTTACTCAAAATTTTAAACAGAAAAAGGTCGTGCAGAACCTAAAAAACGGTCGAAAATGGTTTTATCTTATAGTGACGAATGTCTGAGTAAACCCCAGCTGTGTTTGGACTGTTTTAACCTTTCACATAATAGTTATTTATGATATAAGTATTAAAGTAACACATTGGATTTTTAAATGAATAATAAATTGGAAGCATCTTTCCTACATAAAATGTGCATAAAATTATTGAATTTGACATTTGTCAAAAAGTTCAAACAACCAGCACCTTGTTTTACAGCAGGTAATGAAATGTCTTGTCAGTTTCTTGAAAGACTGTCGTGGTTAGTAATGCTTTTTGCTTAAAATGCAACAAAATACAGAAGAAAAAGAGGGTTATTGCATCGATCCCTTGAAAAATATAGATGAGGCGGCCAATCGGGCTACCTCAGTTGTTCAAATTTCACCATTCATATCAATGTAAATAACTAAAAATACAAACTTTTTTTGACGTTCGCTCTCAAAATTTGATGTTTCATTTTTAACACTAGTGCTATAAAGACTTTATGGCACTAGTGCGATAAAGTAACATTTTTAATGCTTCGGGGGGGTGTTAAAAATTGCATTTTTAACACGTTTGTAGAAAAATAAGTTTTTCAGCATAACTCCTAGGACATTCCTATTTTGATTATAATGGGTTTTTTCTACAAACGTCACTAAAAGTGTCATTTTTAACGGATGCTGTCAGTGTCTAAAATGCCATTTTATGACACTGGTGTTAAAAGTGATTACTTTTAGTACCTACTGAGTGCTAAAAGTAATCACTTTTAGTGCGTTTGTAGAAAAAATAGTGTATGATATTCGTGCTAAAAGTGATTTTATTTTGTTCGAAGGAATGGAACACTCCGCCTTTGGCGTCGTGTCCCTAACTTCCCTTTTCACAAAATAAAATGTCACTTTTAGCACTTATATCATAAATCACTATTTAGTTTACTTCAGAAATAGTTTTTTTGTTGAATTTTCCTATTTAGTTCATTGATTTTTATAGAAGTTATTTTTCTGTTTGTGAAAGCATTCAAAACTTACCCACCAGTTCCTATTTTGGTAATAGAAGCATTTATCTTGTATGCCGGTGAAAATATATAATTTAATGCATATAAAGGTTCGTTGTTATTTTATTTAGGAAAAATCTGTATTTTTTTTTGACCATACCTAACTCTGGTCCATGCTCAAATCTGCCCAGGCCACGCATACCTATATATTGCCTACAGGCCACAGTATGAAACTGCAATGCTAATCTTCGCTAACGTCATTCATATGCGAACGACGCGGCCCAGTAGTACAAAATCACCGTTATTCATATATAAATGACACATCGTTTATTGAAACGGTGCCGTCATACATAATATATGAATGACGTGGCAGGTGGCAGTCAACAGAGTGGATTGTTGCGGAACTTATGGGTGGACCTCTGCGGGACGAGCGCAGCGAGTTCCGCAGCCATCTATTCATCAATATGTTGTTTAATTACGATACTAACCTGACTCACTCAAATGTGAGTTATTCTCATTAGTTTAAAAACTACACATTTCAGGTAAATGTCTTACTTGAACAATTCAACAGTATTTTGGTGAGTAGATGGCTGCGGAACTCGCTGCGCTCGTCCCGCAGAGGTCCACCCATAAGTTCCGCAATAATCCACTTATTTGTACTTGAACAATAACTTATTATATAAAGTCAGAATTTGTAAGATTATCCACTTTTTGTCAATTCACTTTCCAACAGGAATTAGTAATGTTACTTTACCAAATTAGTAATATATTGTGACAAGTTATTCAAGTACAAACGAGTAGATTGTTGCGGAACTTATGGATGGACCCAGCCATCTATCCACTAATATATTGTTCAAGTACAATACTAACCTGATTCACTCAGTTGTGAATTTTTCTCATTAGTTCAAAAACTACACGTTTCAGGTGAGTGTCTTATCTGAGCAGTTCAACAGTATATTGGTAAGTAGATGGCTGCGGAACTCGCTGCGCTCGTCCCGCAGAGGTTCACCAAATACAAAAGTTGTACAGTTTTGGCTGAATTTTTAGAAACCATGATCAGAAACAAAATTTGAATATCAGAAATGTGAAATTTTGCATGCTTCCAATTTTTGTAATGGGATGCCCTATATTTCATTCTATATTCTCAAAGAGCACAATGCCCCGATTCCAAAAATATATAGTTTGTCTATATTTGATTGAACAGTCTTTCATATATTCAGTTCCAAAAATTATAAAAATACTATCCTACTACTGATTTTGTGAACCATTTTATCTGTACAGGTGAAAGCTGCAGGTAAAATTTGAGATACTTGGTTTCTCTGATAGTATTTTTAAAATTTTTAGAACCAAATATGTTGGAGACAGCTCAACCAAATATAGAAAAATTATATATTTTTGGAATCGGGGCATTGTGCTCTTTGAGAATATAGAACCAAATAAAGGGCATCCTATAGGTAGTGCATATTTAATAGGAATATCTCATGTATCTTAATCTTAATAAACTATTTCTCATAAGTAGTATTGGTGTTTGATTTTCTAATGCAAGTTTTCATAGGCTAATACACAGTAATGATTTGAAAAAACGTAGTGAAAATAATTCATTGAGTATACCCTAATGATTTACCTCTTTAACAAGGCAACTTATCTGTCTACTGATTTCTACTGATATTTAGATTGGCAATCTACTGACAAAACAAAATATGACTTGGCAACACTATTTTTAAGGTATCTGTATGTAAGAAAGAATAATGTATACCCTTACATGGTGTCTTAAAGGTCCATGCTTAGAACTTGTGAGTTTTCCAGGTTATATGTAAGAAGGAAAATTCGGGCTCTGTTCTTAGAGGCAAGTTATTGTTACCGTAAAGTAAATATTCGCAATAAAATTATGGAAAACAACGTGAAAAGAAAATGCTTCGAATTTGCCTTGACTTACCAAAATGGACCACAGGAAAAGTCTGGAAATTCTTGCTGATTTCTTCGTCACTATTGAGCTTCCGCGAATTACGTTACACGCATGTGTTACATAGCAAGATTAGAGCACGAGAATTATAAGATATAAATTCTTAATTGGACCGGCTGGTATGTAAAAAATGTCGTTTTTTCACGAGCTGCGGCATGCGGTGCTGGCAGTATATCCTTTTCTATGTAAATGCTGCTCTTCCAGTAGAAGTGGTACGTGATATTTTTTTTATTGGATATCTTGTATACTAGTAATGTGCACATAAAATGTTGAAAGTCAATGGCAACAATATAAAAAAGTATGTAATGTAGAAGGTTTTGTAAAGTTAGGGCTGATATTTCAATGTTACCCTAAAATTAAGACTCACCTACAGTATCTTAACGTTAAGGTGAACTGAAAAATCAATTGATTCAGGTGGCTTAAGATCCACCTTGAATTAAGGGAACTTTGATATATTATGAAACTTGTATAAGGATGACTTAAGATAATAACAAGGATAAAATCAGGTAACCCTGGAAATTAACAATGGCAACAACAATCTGACGTTACAATATTTACTAATTTGCAGTATTATTATTGGTTATTGGAGCAATTGACGTCATATTTAGCGGGTGTTTCGATGTCTGAAATGCTGCCTCAAAAGTGGCAATGTTCCCCAAAAAATACTTACCCAATTTGTATTTTAGAATTCAAAAATAACTAACTAAATCTTCCCATTGTTCACAATAAATTTGTAGGTATTTCAACCAAATCAACTACATTATTATTACCAATAAAAGACGGAGCTTCCACAACAAACATATCATCGGTAAGAGTTGGCAACAGTGGAGCACCCGAGGCCTGAGCCGACTGGACAGCACTCTTGTGATGCTGCTGATTACTGGCCGGAATCGGAGTAATGGTGGCCCGCATATTGGCCGGATACAAACCCTGAGCTGGTACCGCCATCGGAAGTACGTTGGCGTACGTCGCAGGCGATTGTTTCACACTCGGTACCGGCATCGAGGCTGGTACTGGACCGCGACCTGAAAGAAATAATCATCTTAATAGCTGTCATTAATTTTTGACAATTATTATTATAACAAAAATACTAATTATTTACCTGACAATATTGAATTTGTATCAATAATCACTAAAGTGGGTTCTTTTTTGCCAGTTTGCCCCGTGCCTGAGCTGCTCTGATTAGTTTTATTAGCAATTTCCACCAATCGTTTAGTGTCTTTTACTACAATAGTTGACGCCTTTTGTTCAGGTACCGGTTTTTTTACCATGGGAACGCGTTCGACAGTTATTTGATCGTTGTCAGCTAGTGGGTCTTGTGGCAGTACTTCTTCAATGTCAGATTCGCCGCTTTCTTTGCTATTGGTTTTTGAACCATCTTTGCTTTTGGTTAAATTCCTCGAGCTTCGTCTCGGTGTGATTGGGTCTTTTTTGACAAGGTTTTTTGAGGGGGGAGTTTTTTTTTCTGGGCTGTCAATTAAATCGATTACTTCGTCGCTGCCGTTGGTTTTTGCGTCGAGGATTTGAAGGTCGGTTTCGTCTTCGCTATTTAGCTCGATAGTGTCGTGTGGTTTGACAATTTCTTGCACGTCATCGTTTGAAGTAGCTGGACTTTCAACTGGATCCTCGATACCGTTTTCAGAAATTTCCATTTTTTCGTTTTCATTTTTCTCTACTGCTGGAGGACTCTTTTTGTCAGATCCCTCTTGGCTGTTCTCGTCTTTAGAATCACTTGATGTACTACTGCTCCTAAATTGAAACAAATTGAGTATAATATTTCAAATACATAAATCAATTCTTACCCGCTATCTTCTTCCTCTTCATCCTCATTTCTAGCACTACTAACATTACTATTTTCATTTTGTGCTAAACTGCTATTAGTGTCTTCATTGGCAACCTCCCCATTTTCTGGAATTTGTTCTTGACTACTTTGACTACTATCCTCGCTACTATCTTTACTATCCTCGTCAACATTACTTTGACTTGTTGCGTCCTTATTACTGCTACTATCCAAACTGGTGTCTTCTTCTTTATCACCGTCCGATTTCATTTCTTCATCTTCTTCTGTTGGTAGTTTTTTAGCTTCTACATCAACCATATCTACATCGTCTACAGTTTCTTTGGTTACTTCTCCGTTTACCATAACGCTTTCGTCGTTTGAGTGAATTTCGTCGACCTCGCCCATTGCTGCCACTTCTGCCATAGCCCGAGTTGGGTCAGACCTGAAACAATTTATATAAAATTAATATTGATTCAAAGAGGAAGCTGAAAATTGATTAAAAAAAGACGCCAATGAAAAACGGTAAAGAGATTCTTATATATTAGTGTGGTTCTGCGTAGAATCTGACCTAAATGAAATTTTATAGGTTTTATAGGTAGGTAAAAATTAGTGAAATATTTCAGGTTCCTACAAAATTATACTTTCAAGTGTTAGTTTTTTTTTTACCTTAGAGAATACACCATTATTTGTAGGGCCAATTTATATGTAACTGGATCAATGTAAAGCAGAGTAACTTTTTAATAATTATTATTGTGTTTTTGAGACATTAGATGTCAATTTGTGACAACTACTTTTGACAAATAATATAGTCAAGTAATTTGTCAAATTTTGAGGAGTGTTTCACAAATCGTTGTACATTACCACACAAGTACTACAAAGTGATACTTTTTCCATCAAAAAAGGGTAAAGTGCTGTTTCCAAATTGAATCCAAAAATATTCCCCAAAAAACATATAAAACATTGTCAATTTGATTTTGTCCAAAATACCATTAACATATTTTGTGGCATAACTTTGTCAATTTCAATCCGCTCTTAACGTAATTAGGCCTCATTTGAAGCCAATTAAATAATACCTATCATAACTTAGTTAGTTAACCTATCTCTTATTACTGGATCAATCCCAAGCTCTATGAAATGGCAGAAGTTGTATCACTGTATAAAAGAGGTGACTCAAAGCAACCTAGAAGTTATCGACCAATATCTCCCTCAAAAACCATGTTAAAAATTTTGAAAACCTGTGTCCGTCATCAAATTGTACAATTCTTTGATTCATCAGATTTTTGGTTTAACAGACAATATGGCTTTAGATGTAATTCAAGCATAGTATCAGCTGCTACCAACATGCTTACAGATATATAGCAAAAAGAACAAAGGGTTAAGCTGTGTGCTTGTGTCACTGAACTTGCAGAAAGCCTTTGATACAGTCGACCACGACACACTTATAACAGTGCTAGAACAAAATGGAATAACTGGAACGGCTGAAAGACTATATGAGTGGACGAACTCAAAAAGTACTATGTAACAATGTGCTTAGTAGGTACTACAACAAAAGATATAACATGTGGAGTTCCCCAAAAGTCTATATTGGAACCTACATTGTTTCTTGTTTAAATGAACTCCATTTCCACTTCATCTTCAAGATCGATACTATACCTATATGCAGATGACACAGGATTGCTGTTGTATACATGAAAAAATCCCAAAACACTACAACACATTATAGAAAAAGATTTGAACAAGATGGCCGAATAGTTTAAATATCACAAACTTTCACTAAACATGAATAAATGCAGTAACATGATAATTTCAAATGTATATAAACAGAGACCAGCAATTAAACTGGGAAATTCAAATTTAGCAAACAAAATCTTATCAAGTATATTGGATTGTACATAATCGTCTTACATATCAACTACATGTCACAAAATTGCTCCAGCTGTGGGCATGCTACTACGTGTTAAACTCACATCTGTCATACTCAACCATTATATGGGGCAATACAAATTGAAAGCCCTTTCATCCTCTGATGGTGTTACAGAATAGAGCTGTTAAATATGTGTAAAGTCCATTCCAAAATAATTCGTTGACTCTTCAAGTATCAATAAAATGTTGATGATACCCTCAACCACAAACTTCGACTACCTGTGAGCAGGTCCGGGTTGATTTTATTTATTATACCTGCCTAGGTGAGATGTACATGTAAATGTGGGTGAATGTTTTAGTTAAATTATTTAGTCTTTGTGCAGAACTAGAGCTGTTATATTGACAAAAAAAATGTGGCGTCCATGGGCAAATGATGGTAGTATTGCAACCGGAAGTGGTATTTCAAAAAAAAAACATTTATCGCTAGATGCCAAGAAAATTGTGAGGAACGTTTATTTAACCCTTCTGCAGAGAGGCTATAATCATAATCAAAGTGTGAGTGAATCATCCGTTTTAACCAAAACTCCATTATCTACGGTTAAAGATATCGTAGCCAAACGCATCCAGCCAAGGAAGCAACGGTGTGACAGCGGCAAGTCAAGAAAGGTTGAAGAAGCGGATAAAGAGTTGATTCGTAGGAAAATTTATGATTTGTACAGTAAACAAATAATACCTACAATAGATTCTCTAAAAAAGGTACTTATAGAAGACGAAACTGATATATTATGCAGCAGAACAAGCCTTTGGAGAATTGTGAAAGCAATGGGTTTCAAATATCAAACCATTAATAAGAGGCAAGTGCTAATGGAATCCCAGCGATTACAAGCATGGCGTCGAGAATATTTAAGTTCCATAAAACAATATAGGGCAGAAAATCGTCCGATAATATATCTTGACGAAACATGGTTTGATACCCATGACACTCCCAAAAGAGGATGGAGCGACTCAACCTCCAAATGTCAAACCAAAGCACCCTCAAATAAAGGCCAGAGGATTACAATTTTGCATGCCGGATCAGAAAATGGTTTTGTTCCAAACTCTTTGCTGCTATCCGCAAAAAAAATAGCCAATTCATCATTAGATTATCATCAAGATACCGATGCAAAATTATTTGAAGAATGGTTTCAGAATCGCCTTCTTCCGAACATACCAGAAAACAGTATAATTGTGATGGACAACGCTAGTTACCACAGCCGTCAAAAAAATAAAGTGCCCAATGCAAGTAATACAAAAGTAGAACTTCAAAAATATATGATGGAAAATGATATGTATTTCGAAGAAAATTATACAAAGAAAGATCTTTTAAACGTTTTGAAATCATATAATGTTAAAAAAGAATATATTTGTGACGATCTTGCTAGCGCTTGTGGTCATACAGTTTTGCGTCTTCCTCCATATTATTGTATTTTCAATCCAATAGAACATATCTGGCATGAATTGAAGGCAATGGTTAGGAGAGGAAACACCTCTCCTACACTTAGTACTGCTGTAATAGATTTAATTAGAAAATGTGTAGATAATATTCCAGTTCAAAGCTGGAAAAATTCTGTCAATCACGTTATAAAAGTTGAAGAAACCTATAATTCAATAGGTATTAATGTTAAGCCATTAATAATTAGTTTAGGCATAGATGAAGATGACAGTGACAGTGAAACGGAACTAAATATAGATTAGGTTTGGTTGAATTGTGTATTGTATTATATTGTATTAGATATTAAGTTTTGGTAATTATTAAGATAGTATAAGATTATAACATAAATAAATAATATTATGAAACGCCTTTTTCGTTTTCATTATAATGGGCACAAAATCCGTACCTGTAAACCTTTGAGTGGGTATTAAGGAACCCGGTACCTACATAAAAGAACCTGGTACCTACACAATAGAGGCTAATAGCTATCTAATTTATGGTAGGGTTTTATAGCCGTGAAGTCAACGAAATATTTTGGAATGGACTTTACCGAGGGGTAAACCACTAGTGGAAATCATTGTACATTTTTCTAGGAATCACATAGTAATCAATCAGGAATACCATGGAAATAACTTAGGAGTCCCTGGGAATAACTTAGGAGTCCTTGGGAATAACCTAGGAATCGTTAGGAATCTCCTAAGACTCTATGGGAATCACATAGAAACCCACTGGTAATTGTTGAGAATCATGTGGTAATCGCTGGGAATATTATCTTATTCATATCACCATGCCAGAAATTGCATATTATACATTTTAAACAATACAGCAGCGTACCAGTCAGTTGTGTATTTGCTTTTAAGACGTTTTAGGCAACATTGAGTGCTAGACAATTTAAAATGTATTTGACATCCCAACGATTTTCCCAATAACTCAATTCGAGACTACCAAGACTCTAGAACTTGAAAAAGAATGAGATGAAGATTAGGTTGTTCTCACAGAGATCACAAACCAGTCAGAGTGTTTGTGATTGGTGCAAATCGCCAACATAGAATTTGCTCTGACTGGTTTGTGATTTCTGTGAGAACAGACCTAAAGTATGACAAAATGAAAACATGAATTTTGAAACCTCTCACGTATTTCCAAAAGAAAACTTAGAATTTCTTCACACATCAGAGTTTAGCAATTGCGATTCCCTACAATTAAGAGATTATTCAGGGCTCAACTTCAATTTGGTTTTTTTTAGAGAAGCAGGGACGTTCGTCAATCAAGTGTTAAGAGTTATGGGAATGTCCTTGAGAAAGACACAAAAAAAGTCGGAAATCCAAGGCAATAAGAACTTGAAAAGGGAAAGTAGAATAAATACTAGGCAGAGACGATAGCACATCTGAATCAGAATTAGAAATAAGTTTGTCGAGTGAAACCCTAACTAAAGATGTATTTGATTCAGATGAACATCCTATTGAAATCAAAGAAATATCCATTATTTTAGATCCATATTATGCATAGTAGACACGCAATGGTATCTACGGCTCAACAACTATTTGTACATTGTACATACAACAAAATCGGTATGGGTGTGCGTGGACAACCATGAAAATAAAAGTTGCTAACTTTTGGAAGAGTTGCAAATACAGAAGTTGTCAATTTTTCAGTGGACACGTGTTTTTATAAGAGAAAATACTGTTTATTTTGGTCATAACAATGCGAAGCTTAACAATTAGACATGGTTTTCGTAATAAAATCAGCTGGAAATCATACAAAAATATCTGAAAATCATTGGCAATCAGTCGCAATTCTTGGGATGGGAATACATGGGATTCATTAATCAGTGATTGCCAAATATGGAAATCATTTTATATTTGACGCTTCGATGTGTACCAGTTGCCAACGAAAACTCTTTATGGTCCAAGAGGAATACTTAACATCGAACAAAGGGTCAACCGCGGTTCAAAATTGTGTACACCAATTCCAATAATTCCTAATAAATTCCAACAATGCCAAGCATTTTAATTCCATTTATTATATTTTTGCTAGATTTTTCCTTTCAGAACGAATAGATGTTGTCACATTAAGGCCTGGCTTATTCATCTTCAGATAAACTTGCTTAA